ACGGCGAGTGACGGGGGTGGGCAGGGGGAGACCGGGGCCCGCTCCAGGCAGGGCCGCGGGAGAGACCCAGCTCCAAATATTGCTGGAGCAGGGCCCCCGGCCCTGGATATTGCTGGAGCTCGGGCACCACAAAAGAATATAACCCGCCGCCCACCACACCCCCACCCCCAGACAGGCCCATCCAACCCTCCCCCTGCTCTCTGACTGCCCCCCTGGACTCCCCTTACCATGCCAATGCCAGTCAGATGGTGGCTCCACATGTAGGCAAAAGACGCTGCCGGTGGGGCTGTTTGTGTCATTACACCAAGGTGCGGGGAGCAGGGGAGGGGCTCTGGCTGCTGGAGGCCAATGGGAGCGGCTCAATCAGGCCCAGCCGCCCAATCACCGTGCCGCACTCTGCATGGAAGGGAGGGAGGGAGAGGAGGGGTAAAAATCCCGGTCCTTTTAACCTTGTTACCAATTCCTCCCAGACGGCTATTTAAAGACGCAAAAGCCGGACATGTCCTGGGAAATACGGACGGATGGTAACCCTACATACTGTCACCTTGTGTTTCAATATCACCGACTCTGAGAGTGAAAATCGAAGTTGAGCCATCAAGAAAGAGAATTCTTGGCAAGTTCAGCTAAAACGCTACAGTCCCGGGGGATCGGACTTGACTAATCAAGTGATACTTTCATCGATTCTTTCCCCAGTGTCAACACAAGCCCCATCAAGGCCTCCCTTTGTGTCTCGGTAACGTGTTGTACTCCAGACTATAGCATGGACAAAGGATTCAGCGAGATTATTATTTTGAGGCAACCGTTCATTTATCGTGCCAATCAAACCAGACAGCAAGAAATTTAGGCCAGAATTTTCAGAAGAGTTCCGCACCCACAACTGAAGCTAGATTTGCAAAAAGCTCAGCACATCAGGCGCTGTGGAGAAAGCTGTTGGAATGAACACGAAGGTTATGTCATTGATACCCATTGGGTTTTGCTCGGAATGCGTTGGCAGGAATTGCTACTGTCTTAGCAGCTGCGGCACTTCCTTTGCATTGCAGAAATTTGGGATGCTGTCTGCAAACTGTGGGCCAGGATTATGGCTGCACTAGCTGGGAAGCCCTGGGCCTCCTCCCACACCAGTACAGCAACACAGGAAGCAATCCTAATCTGTCTGGCAAGTGCAAGGTGGGGCAGGCTGTCTCCAAAGCTCCAGAGGGAGCGAATCCGAGGCAAGGACACGCCTCCTCTTCTGTGCACCAATTAGCAGTTGCAGGGCTGCTCTGGGGGAGGAATATGGCATGGTCGATATCTTTGCAAAGGTGGGACAAGAGCCACTCCCCAGAATGCAGTCCCCAGTGCCTAGGAGGCCTCTCTCTACAGCACTACGTCCTGAACTGTTTTCCCATCCATTGCCTTCCAGGAGTTATAACTGAGCTATTGCATAATCTACACGTGCCTTGGGGATTTTATGGGAAGTATTTTGACTTCCTTTATCAGGCAGCAGACATATAAGGCCTGACCTTGCTTCCATTACAGTCAATGGAAAACTTCCCATTGACCTAACTGGGACCAGTATGAGGCCCATGGAGTCTGACAGTCAGATGATAGCAGCCTGAACAATTACCCTAGTAAGTGCTGCTGGAAAAAAACCTTTGGTTGCATATTGGTGTTACCTTCACTAAATGCCTGTTTGCCACAGCAATCATTAACAGATGCAAACGGAGCAGTCCTTCGTTTGGACATTGTCCAGAGGATGCACTGGACACCTATTAAAGCTCTGAGAGAACATCTGAAAGGGAACGATATGTGTTGGCAATACTTAAACGCTCCAGCATCAGGGATTGCAACCACATGTTTAGGTTATTCAAGAAATGTTTGACTCTTGTTCTGAATGTGATTCAAGATGGGTTTGTTCCCAAGAACATTCCTGCTTTTCAGAACTTACCAGTTGCTCCAAAGGGGGGAGGAAAAAATTGGATCTTACTAAAATGTTTTAGTGGTTAAAAATAGGATGGGCCAACTCCTCTGGTCCTTACCAGGGCAGATTCTGCAAGTGCAGGGTGTTTTGGTTGAGTAAGGACTCCAAGGTTTGGGACAGTCCCAAGAAAATGTGCAATATAAAGTTAAAAAACATTTTTGTAAAGATTTGTTTTTAAAAAGAAGACTAAAATCCATATTTCTTCTTTAAGTAATTCAGCCTCCGCTAGCGCTTAAACCAGACACACGTGGCAAAGGATGCTACTTGGTAAAGTGCCACAGGCAGCGTTTCCTCATTAAGAAAAGAACATGGCACCCACTCTCTTAAAGAGCCAGACTAGTCCAAGTGGAAAGGGCCCGACGGACAGTCCAGGGTGGTGACACTGTATTTCTCACCTAATGCTCATTGCCTTGTGCACTCAGCACTTCGGGATGCCCTGGCCATGGGGAAAACAAATGCTGCTGTCTACTGATGATTGGATTCTAGATGTGGGTGGGGTTGAGGGAGGGCTCTGGGAACTCCCAGTGTGAGGACAGCCAGTTTTGTGCTAGTGTTTTGTGGCAGGTGAGCATGGTCAGAGGTGTTCTACACCCCCAAAGGGTGGGTCCAAGGCTGTGACCCCATCACCTGCGCACTGGCCAGTGGTTAAAAAGGACGTTAAGGTCCATTATTATATATTTTATTACTTATTATCACCGATAGACATTCAACATCTACAGACAACTGATAGCAAAGTCACCAGCTAAGCTGTGATCAAATGCCATCAGGGATGGATCAGTAACTTGCGCTCTGTAAGTAAAGGATCCTGCCACTTGAGCTAAAGGGGAATCACCACCAACCATGCTAGTAATAGAGCGTCCCTTCTCTGTGGCCTGCAGCCACTAGAGCCATCCACTTGAGCAGACGTGATGTTCCATCCAGAAGGCAGCAGTAATATTTAGACACCAGCCAGCTAGAAAGGGGGGAACATTTTCAGCCCAAAATGTTTTTTATCAAAATAAAAATGCAGAGTCTGGTCACCTGCACATGTGTTATCAAATTGTTTCTGTCAAAAACAAACAAATAAAAATCCCCCTGCCCTCAACTGAAACGTTTAGTTTTCAAAAATATTGAAACAAAGCGTGTTTCAGTTTGAAACAACTTTGTGTTTTGAATTTTGAATTTAATTTCTTGAAATTGTGATCAGCAAATCAAACACTTGGTTATTCCACAGCTCTAATTACCAGTCCCTCAGATAGAAATGGCTTAAAAAGACCAGAGACGTGACATGCTGCTAGCAAACATGCGGCACTTCGTTCTACACTCAGAAAAATCTTTGTGATTTTTTTTCCTTTAAATACATATGCAAACTTACTTAAATTCTATCCACATAGAAAGAGAGATTGTCAGCCTAGGGGGCATTTAGTTAGTACTGTTAGGATAAAGTAACCTCTTTGGGGTTTCCTTGGCGCTACATTTTGTGCATACCCTATTTCAGCATTCCGGTCATTGCGACTTAAATAACTTCATCAAATGTACACGCTTTACCCATCAAAGACATGTCGCAACCGACACTATAAATAGTTTTGATTAGAAATACACACTGAATTCAGAGAACCTGATTCCATTCTCTGGTGTGAATCAGGAGTAACTTCACTTAATTCAATGGAGGCGCCTCCATGTAAAACCTGAGCAAGGCCCAGAATTTGCAAATCGGGTATATGTTGTAAACTGTGTAATATCCTGCATGATGCTGTGTGTTTAGTTAGTTCTCCTAAATGCTTTGGTCAGGAAGATTTCAGTGTCACTTGAATTTTGTGAGGAATAGATTAGCCAGAATGCTGGGAGTCATAACATTTGTTCTCTTCCCATCTGCACAGTACTCTCAATCTGCCAGCATGCAGATGGCTGCAAACACTGGCTGAGAAAATAATCCCCCCTCCCCTCCCCGCCAAGAAAACCCATACTGTAATAGCTGATCACGTATTGAAAACTGGAATTTGTACAGGGTCTTGCTTATGATTTTCTACTATTAGGAAAAACTTCCCAGAAATCTCATTTTCATAGAAGATCACAAATTAGTGCCCTGCCTGCAGTACACATACCCCCAAGTGACGTCTTGATTCAGCAGGTGCGGAGCTTTTGAACCAATCAAATGGATCATGGGCAGCCGGGGTGCTAAGAGAGGCAGCAACGTGTTAGAAAAGCAACAAAAACTGTCATGTTCTAAGCAGCTGGGTCAAACAATCTACACTGAACTCTGAGTCTTTACCACGGCAACTGAAGCCTCTGCGCTCACACGCACATAGAAAGGAGTATGATCACCCTTGGAGAACATTCAGTGCTTGCTTAGAAATACAAGCAGAGACTCACAATGCGTCGCTGTAGCAAGTGGAAACCTAGGGCCTGCTTCTCCTCTCATGCATACTAATGGGAGTCGGTGGAGTTACACTAAGGTAAGTGAAAGAGGAATAGGACCCATTGACCTCACCATTATGATTATTGTCTTATCATTGTTGATT